GAGGGGCATGGAAAGAAGACACAAGAGGGGAAAAGGGGACATGTTAAGCTAGAGAGGGCACAAGAGGGGATATGGTAAGGGGACAAACAAAAGGAGGGGTATGGAAAGGAGACACGGGCTGCGTATCTTTTACTTATATCTACATTCGACAAGAGCATCGAAATGTAAAGTAATTTATCAATAAGCCATGACGTTTATCTCACATATATATTGTGTAAGCGATTACCTAATTCTAATAACAGCAGATTAGGGTCATTATAGGAGGTAAGGGTGGGGATTATATTGCGGCATTTCTGAAGCCCTTCCACGTGTTCAACCAATCAATGCGGACCGCGCGACCCCTCCTAGACCCCACAGGTTGTGGGGCCGAACACAGAGGGACCGCCGCTTCCAGTCCGCAATGTCAAGTCAAACACACCTTACTTTTCATTCTTTTTACTGGGCATAGAAACAAATGCGTCTGTGAAATTTTAACTTTCATTTCCGTCGCGCGGTCAGATCAAAGGATGTGTGAAAACTGGTGTATAGGTAGATGTATATAGGTCCCGGGAAAGTAGACTTCTCTTGACGGTAAATAGCACAGGCACGGCGGCCTCTTTGATGTGACCAGTCACATACCTTGTTTATATTGGGGATTACACCTGGTTACGTTTGTGTCGCCTGTCCATCTTCCGTGGTTACGTAACGACCGGACGGGCACCCCGCCTGGACAGTGTCCAGTCCCGGTTTTATGGCTGTTGAACACACATTATCAATTATTGAAGAGTGCAGGCTGGAAGTCAGTGACCGTTTCCGAGAGGTCAAACCTTACAGTTTTTAAGCCCTATCAACTTGACGTCAGGTTTTACATAGGTTAAACCAATTTACATGGAGTTATATTTGTTACTTACTATTACAATTTGAATTTAACCGTTTAATACAATGTTGTCCCCGACAATGCCGATGTCGCCTGTTCGATCGTTGTGAGAGATTTTTCAGATAGATTTGCCGCATGTACCGGGTTTGATTAGGAGTACGTTAGCGAGCCATCAGACTCAAGATACATAACTCTGGCTGGATCAATAGTAAAGTAAACACGGGCCTATCTTGGCGCGGACTGAACTGTTGGTAAATAAGACTAAACTCGACAATTACCTGTCAGACAACACCTGTATCACCTTTCGATTGTCGAACAATATTTGTCAGGTAAACCTGGGGGCATTCCTAACATCTTAAACCAGCGGTTGTCTACTTCCTTTCCAGCGAATTCCCGCCAATTTGGATGAGTAAGCCTGGTACACCTTATTCGGGCGTACAACATCCTGAAGACCGTGATTTAAAATAGTTAAAGTTATCAAGTTAAACGGATTCAGACCAAAACTACGTCAGATTTAAGACCCTGAAAGGTCACGGTATAAGTCACAGTTCTAGACACGTGGTTTCCAAATGCATACGGCCGTTATATAAAACACAATAACTCAATGGCCCACTTGCCTTGCAAATAAGAAATGTATTGTATTTTACAGGGTATATGAAATGATACATGTGTTTTCAATGTGTACGTAATTGTGATTACTGTCCGACATCTATTTGTGACCACTGTACATAGCCTGGTAAATACTTATGACCAGCCCCGGGTCAGTCGTCTAACCGCAGACAAACCTGCATAGGTTTCAGTGCCGAGTAGCCACCAAAATACAACGAACTGACCATCAATCATTCCTAATCAGATAGCAAATGTCCGAAACTTCAGAGGGTCCCTGACCAGCGGTCATCACAATCGATTTATGGGACGTTTTCAATATCGCCTGTCATTAATAGAAACAACTAATTTGTTGGTTGTGAAACGGGGCGTATCGTGAAACTAGATCAGTGTGTATAGTTAATGAACTTAAAATATACCTTTGGTATCAGCACGTAACTAATGTTCTACTGATACCAGGACATGTGTTCAGGTCGGGTTACAGCGAGTTGTATATATAAGGACTGGGTACCTTGACGGTCTTCACATGCAGACACCCTGGAAAGTACCCGATACACACCGTCTGTCTCCCGACCCCCTCGCCTGTCTCCCGACCCTCTCGTCAGTCTCTGTTTAATACCGGTTATTAATTTGATATACATATAATCTAACAAATTCATATAAAGGTGTCTAGATCTATATAAAGCCTATTTTAGTCCCCACCTTGCCATGCTCTGGTGAATACATACAAAAAAACGTTGTCACCTTTCACGAGTAACGGAGGTCAGGGTTACTCGGTGTGGTAGTGGGTATCAAAAGCGCGGGTGTGTCGAGATTACCACGTGGAGCCAAAATGAAAACACGAGTAACAATTATACTGACCACATAACTTCCGGTTCGTCAATACACATCACATGTTGTATAACCAGCAGTGTTGCGACGTCAGTCAGCTATGTTTACCTCGTGTCAAAATATCTACGTCGTTTATATAGATTTTTGTGTAAAGTTCATACAGTGCTAAATAATACTAGCTCATCAAAGCTGGTACAAACCCATATCCTATGAACACTTCAGTTTAACGTACCAAGTTAGGCATAAACCGCCTTATCACGGCCACATCAAGCCGAAATTTCCCCAAGCGTGCAGAAACAGTCGTGCACCAGGTACGGTCAGACCACAGTTATATAGGTACCTAGCTGGCACTTCAGGCATTAAATACTGTATATAGTAAGCGTTTACAGTCTAATATGGCATTTATATAATACGTGACATCTATGACACGAACTCTTTGGGATATAAAGGTAGAGGGTGGTGTCTTTGTCTCGAACCAATATTTTTTATAATGAAAATTAAACGGCATATATTTTAAGATTTTCTAATCATAAATGACCGTTTTAAAGACTAAATATTTTCACCAAATAACTTTCCAGTGAAATATTTGATGACATCACGGAAACATATCACTACATATGTAATTATATCCATATCAACTCTATAACATGATGATCTACGGTTGACACGAGAGATATCCGGGTGGAGATATCTTCAGTAAGTGATGACGTCATGTGACACCTTCTATTGAGACACATGGATACAGTATTAACTAGACCATCGTTCGTCCCTTAACAGTAACCTGGAAATGTTTAACTCGTAATAACAATAATTCAAGCCTATTAGAAGCATACTACTTTGTCGAGATACACAACACTAATCATAATCATACATAGGCTCCCAGCGTGCAGTAGTGGTCATCCGGGATGGTCAGTAAGTCGCGGCTCCGGTATCTGACCAGCAGTCCTCCGGCTTTGACAGGTGTCACGTTCTAGCAGCAGCAGCAGCAGCAACAGCAACAGCAGCAGCATTCGTACCCAGACATGTGACAGAACACGTGTCATAACCATGCCCCCGGTGTAAGTGGATTGTTTTCACATGTATCTGATGTGTGTATTACAGCTTACAATAAGCCAACGGAAATGAGATGTCAAAACTTTCAAGGAAGATTTTCAAATAAACTTGGGATTGGATTCGTCAAAACCATTGACATATTTTGTAAGGTTTGAGACAATTTTAATCGTAGAAGGGGATTATGTGGCCCATGACATCGATTGCTTAGTTCAGTGAAAGATACGAGGATGTTGTCTTGTGTACTTTAAGTATGTAGGTGTAAAGTTGTTTATCAAAACACGTGGTTTACTTACCAATTTATCATTTTTAATAATTTAACGATATGACTTGAATATATGCGAAGTACCTGCTGACCTATCGTTGAAATGACTGTTTATTAATTGTAACTGTGTACGAGGGAGGGGACAATACCCCGGCCCACACGACCAACAAGCCCCTGAGTCAGACTGGTAGTCACTTAAAACAGTCCTAGTTATGTGGGTCTTGTTACTGACAACTTCCTCGCCCCGTCATTTTCACACAACAGTCCCTTACAAATAAATAGGTCGCCTCGGTACGTTAAGTCAGTGCTCCCTGAGCACGTGGAGGGAAGCATTTATGCCAACTAGGCTTGACACAGTTCGGTTTTCCAGTCCAAGGTGGTGTCGTGTATGACTCAATTACCGACAGTAATTATGTGCAGTGTGATATCGCCAATACTAACAGTTCTCATTACTCAAGTCTATAATCACAAACAGTTAAATCACTTCTGTCACAATTTTAAATTTATATACACACGAAAACGTCTAGATTTCTAGTATACACCAGACAGGCTTGTCACGCCTGAGGTGCATATTGAACAGTAACGACATTAATAAGCGACGAGCTTCTGTACATATTTGCGATCTCTCACTATTTTGGAGGGAGACTCTCGATTTTTTACCCTAAAATTGAACATTTTCAACCAGAATCAGTGGAAGAAATGATGACTTCACCAGAAAGAACAGCTCAAAAGATGTCATTTAAAAGTGGTTTTCTCCTTAGGGTGTACATACACACATTTTATTTAAGCTTTTAATTCTGAGCACATGTTATCTCCCCCATTGACATTTTTAAACGTTCTCAAGTTTGGGTGTATGGTGGTAGAAAGATCGATTCCGCGAACACTGTCGAGTTCGTAGTAAACAAACCTGTTTTAATTCAAGGTAAATTTTGACACTTTTAAGCGTTACACGCACAGTTGTCAACTCTAGGTGTCATAGTTACACTTCATTAGCAATTAGCGCGTTTAATACAATATCCTTCTCGCTAAGTCGGCGTGTAAACAACCCCAGGCCTCCCATTCAAATCTATCGGAAACACCTCTGACAAAAAAAAGAGACTCTATCGCCATGTAAATGATGTATAATAGTGTTTAACCCACACAATTTCCTACATCCGTTGACATTACGTACAGTCGAGTGACGCGTAAACAATATTTTCGTTGGAAAACACTCAACCGTGAAATTTGGCAATTATGACACTTAGCTATGATTGACAACTGTCGCATTACGCTGTGGGCGGAGCCAACTCCACGTGACTTTAGTTGGAAGTAAACAGTGAGTACACATGTGTGTGCCGTCTGGTATTTCATACCCACACTACTGATAATCAATATATAACAACAACCAAGATATGTAGAAAATTTGTTGTATTTTTTCACTACAACATAATAATATTAATATAAATGAATGCACAATTTTGGATGTGCACATAATATTTACATTTGGCCAGTTTTGTTTCTGTAGCCATACGTAAACACACACTTGTTTTCGTTGGATATGCATATCAAATATATATGTAACGCTCTCACTGGCTCACTCGCTCACTTACCGATGGGTCTTATAAATAACAGTTTTTCTAGCACAATAAATAAACCCCATCATTTTTGTACATTAACATTTAGAGATTATTTATCTTTTCTCTACAAAAAAATGCTTCTTCTTTAAAATAACAGTAAATAGAAAATGTTATAAAATCAAGAGATGATGTTACCGAGATTTCACTATAATAAAATACATTCTCACTCTCAGTTCCATCAAATCTCTACAAAATGTACAAAATTATCAAGATGGATTTGTTTGTCAACATATACTCTTTGAACAAATTTACAATATTTACATCTTGCGTTTCGGATATTTCCTTAATACAAAGTTCCCTGCTGTTTCAACAATTATGGAATATGAAAATATACCTTTATGAAAATGTCCCCGCGACATGATGAGTACTAATTATACCAGTGGTCAGATACAATATCGCCAGTTATTGCATTTCATCGGTTAAATAATTGCGGTAGAAAAAAAACACATGAATTTCGATGGGTAAGTGTACTGACCTGATTTGAGTCCGTCCACGGGTAAAATTATTAACCCATTTTGTCGGTTACAGTATGAGACCTACTCACAACACACATACTGCGGACCTAACTATACCACACAGCCCTATATTAACTTAATATATACATTCTCCATCGGACCTAGTGGAGCACTCTGAATGACAGTATTCCTCCCAGTTTTGCAAGTCCTCACTTTTTGCACGTTGTCCCGTTTATACACACATTTGCACAATGAATGAAAGATCGACATAATTATATAGTAAGTACCATGGAGTAAGACGGTCTTACCCACACAGCCAGTCTAATGGGCAGCGATCGACCCCAGCACTGATATGTCCAACCACTCATTTTCCAGACCGATCATTTCGGACACTTCTGGCGTGGAATAATCCGGGAATTCAAAATGTGATCCATTGCTTGATGTGGACATAGCACTGGAAACGTGACAGGTCTGTTGTGCCTGTTGTATATCAAAGTTTGGGAAGTCTGTATCAGCTAATTTGCTGAGATCCAGATTCCCCAGTTCAAGCTGCCAGTTAGTTGGCATTTGTAAAACGTCCGTGAGATTGTCGAGATCGGCTAGGGAGGACCCGTCTCCGTGTTGGGAGGGGTTAGCAGCCTGGCGAGGTAGACTGGTCTTGGCGGGCTCCTCCTGTGGAGAGGCCGCCGGGGTGTCGTAGATTTCCTCTGGGTAGAAGCTCGTGGACTCGGGGGTCGGGGGCGAGTACACCGAGGGGCTGGACGGCACTTTGGCGGGAGGGGTGAGTTGACAGGAAGACACTGGGACATGTCGACTCGCTTTTATACTGTCTTTGAACTTTTTGTCAATTGTTAGCTTGAGTCGGAGTCGACTGTCAGCATTAGCAGTGTTCACATTGAGATTGTTCGTAGTGTTTAAAAATCCCCTGCTCACTGATTTTTGTCGGTGTTTGTCATGCCTGTGTTTACTTGAGCTTTTTGTCACTTTTCCACTTTCGGGTTTACCGACTGGTTTTGCCTTTTTCCTAGGACGGTATTTGTAATCGGGGTACTCCTGCATGTGTAGAAGTCGGAGCCTCTCGGCCTCCTCGATGTATGGCTGTCGCTCGGTCTCCGTCAACAACTTCCACCGTTTTCCGAGTCTTTTACTTATTTCAGCATTATGCATATCCGGGGAAACTTCCGAGATCCTTCTCCTTTCAATTTGAGACCACACCATGAAAGCGTTCATAGGGCGCTTCACATGATTCGATGCTTTTTTGCATTGAGTCGCATCAGTGTATGGAGTATGTGATTCAGGATCGATCTGCTGAGAACCAAAATTACCGGACTGCTGGCCCGCCGGGCTGTTCTGTGGAACCATTGTCACTTTATAATATCACTGTTCTTAAATTCCAAACGAAGAAAACTAAAGCAAACTGGGTACAGTGCCTTCGGTAGAAGGACTGTTTCCCTGACGTCTATACACAGCTTGGTATCACTACATAAACTGAGAATATCGTGGCGTAAACCTTCTTTCTATACACGCGGGTTAGCTATATCACGTGACGGCATGGTTTCGAATTCGCCCAATCAGCTAGAGGCCGCGTAGCTCCGCCCTAAAGGGGCGTTCTGCATATTAATGTACCAATGATTGAGGTACAAAGCAGGCAGTATATCAATTAAAATTCCAACCTACTTTTTCTTAGATACTCGACGAAAACTTCACAAAAATAGACAGCACCAGTGTCCAGTCATGCTTACTTGTAAAGTCATATTAAAGCTTAGCATAGATTAAATCTGTGACAATACAAAAACATTGTTGTAAAACTTGCTGCGGTATTATAAATGACACCATCAGGAAGGCATTCAGCGATCCTAATCACGCTAGGCTGACCCGGTACACAACTTTTAAATATTTAAGAAAATAAAAGAATTACGGGATTTAAAAATCAATATGATTTAATCACAATGTAAACTATGAATCAGTGTTTATTTTTAATTCTAATATTGTTTTTCCTTTGAATTTTAGAAAGTAACATGTGGTGAGCGAGCGATTGAACACAAATACTTTATTAGTATTGACACTCCTCGGCAAGTGTTTACAAGTATATATATATAAAGTTTGGACAAACAGAAACAGTATCAAGTGCTGGTCTCTGGTGAATTAAAAACGTCAGACATGTGTTATATTTTGTTGTTGTTATTGTTTAACCGCGAAAACTCCATGCATATTTTCATATTCTTTTAATTAGATTTAATTACTTTAATTGTAAAGTAAAGGAATACTGATTTTAAACAAATGTATAAATGTTCAGATTTAACACCAAATATTTGTTTCTGCATTTCTACGTGCGATTTATGACAAGTTCAGTGGGAACCTGATGTTGGCTCTTATCAGTATTTTACGGCTGAGCGAGCGAGCGAGAGAGAGAGGTACCCAGGTCGTCAACTCTCAAGGTCATATTTCTTCAAAAATGAGTCACCGGCTGCTTCTGATGCTGAAGAGGCGGCGTCATCCCCAGCACGAGCAGTCTGAGACACTCTTGACCCGCCTCGCTCGCTGTCTGCAAAAACGAAAACGTCGATATCAACCATTTTAGTCAACAACCTTTACAATATCATATAAAAATCCACAAAATATATCGGTTTCACATACGGTAATATAACGAATTTAATTTACTAATATACATGATTTTTATCTAGTTGTCATCCGACACCTCACGTGGCGCCTCTCGTTTTATGACACGCGCTCGTGCAAAGTATTTATATGTTGGTTTTGAAAATGAACTTGCGCGTCTTCAAATCGTGGGAACCTAGAATTATCGATCAGGAGGACATCCATAACACCGCATTATGAGGTAGATTCAATTTAAACTCAATCATGTGACCTTACTTGGCACGCGTCGTTTGTAATTTGCATATGTAAGGGTGCACGCGACTCTCTCGTGTGCGCGTGCCCACTTCAAATTGGAAGACATTCACAAACCGTTTTTAACGAATCACACTCCGTTTCCCATCCATACATTAGCGTCACATGACGCCATATGGCATCTCGTTAAAATAGTCCAACAAAGGGAATATCAAAATGTTCTTTGGAAAGGGAAAAACATTAAGGTCGCGGTTTTTTTTTATTACAAAACAAAATAGGAGAAAACGTGCCTAGAGAACACTTATTGGGCGAGGTTAATAACATGGTACGGCACTTCTAAGGGCTTACTTAATAGAGCACACAAAATTACAATTAGGATAACATACACTAAATCTGTGTTGCACAGGAAACGATTTTTTTCTGTTTATGGTAAGATATACCGACAAGATAAAGTATATAAAACCATATGGTATATACCTGCCGACTAAAGTTGACAAATTTACTGAAATCTGGTCGCTTTTTAAGTTTAAATACTTAATTTTTAACGCTCAAATTATTCGAGACCATTGAGTTGATTTATTGGTGTGGTCAATGTGTCCTAGAGTCATTGCCCATCAGTTGACCAGTGGCTAACCTGTGCATGAACTGGCTTCTCAAATTTTTCGGAATTACTGGGTGCCGCCGGGGCCATATTAGCCAGTCCTGAAAAGAAATCTGCGTTTGTAGGGCCGTCATATATATGCCATTCAAAATTATTTTCTATAGATGTAAATGGCAAAAGGTTTCTAGCGGGCAAAGCCTTTCATATCCCTCCTTGAGCCGTGACGTCACAGGCAGGTGCTGCGGTAGGTGTAGCCAACGGACGGGCACGCGACCTGCGCCAGCTGTCTCCAGAACCGGCCAATCACAGTTGAGCTTTGCTATACGACAACTGATTATCGCTGCGAACAGGCAGATAGCCGAAATGTTGTATGGGGCTATTTTATGTTCATTCAGTTATTACTGATATAACATGAGAAAAGTGACGGGGGCTTTGCCCGGGACACGACACAGTCAACCGTGCTCTCACGTGTCGAATAATTAACAAACTACATATGATTGGAGAAGCCGTCATGGCTTAGTATCAAAACATCAGTGAAGGATATAAAATTTCATACCCGAAATTCTTTTCTAATGAGGCGAAGTTTTCGATCAATAATTTTGAACTTGAGGGGGAAACAGACTAGCTCATTTACTGTTAGCAAGTCTGGCTTCGAGGGCAGTTTTTTCTGCTATCAGCAAAATATTAGCGCTAAAAAGTATAATTAAAAGGCGTTAATGCAAAAAATCAATGTTTAAAAGATTGCAGTAGAAAACGACGTGTGAGATAGAAGACGATTCATTACACTCTAGGACCTATATAGACGACAGATGGTCACACGTCACAATTTACACAAGCCATCACCACAGGCTATCGACGTCTAACAATCACTGGCCTTTTATTCAGACACACATTAGGAATATTTGATTAAAATCAATTCGAAACGCATATTTCAACATTTTTTACTGCAAATGTGACAAGTGTGCATTGTATAGTTAAGTATCTATTCGCAATTTCATATATAAAAAAAGGAAACAATTTTGAATACATATCAAAGTATTTATTGACATTTCAATAAAAAAAGACATTTCAAAATAAAATATAAACATTTCAGTGGCATTTTCTGCATAGCTGACTATGTGATTAGCGTCCTGTCACACTTAGTACTGAAGAACAATTATCTCATTTTTCCTATTTGAGTGACGAATGGGCGTTTAACATATTTTTATTTTTATTTTTAATATTTTGGGATGCAGTTTTATCATTTATTGAAATGTCTATCTTTTTGTAGCAGAAGATAAGCATAAAAACAACTTGAAAAACGTCGCAGTAGAAAATATAATTCACTGTCCGTTTAATCAAAGACATATAAAGCCAGTAGTATATATACGTCTTTGGTTTAATGTGACACAACCAGCATACTAAAAGCAGTGCCAGACCGAAATAGTCGATAAGGAATGATCATCCCATGTTGGGAGCCCCCTCAATCTAAACAAGCAGTTCAAGCCCTGTACGAGTAACCAACAGGGACCAATGTCCNTTCCGCACCTGTAACATACAGACGTGTAATTATGTTTTTTGTACTATGTACGGGCCGTAATTGGATAATAAGCTGCAGTGCACGTGCATGTTTGTAAAAATAAACGTGTTATTTCTCAGTAATTTGTTCAAATTTTATTTTACACACACATAATTGTGGCATCCACTTAGCTTGTGTAACATTGTCATTAATATCGGTCTTATTCCTCTTCATTAGCTCAGGACACCTTTTAAATAAATCATATCTCGCTTCCTTATACACGAACGTTACTTGTGATGTCATCGGACAACAACGTTTTGATTCGTATTTGCTTTCTTTTTCTTGAGCGGGAAGGGGGGTTATTTTTAAAATTATAATAGAAAAACATATAAACGATTAGGTGTAATTTCCTATGGTGTATACTAAATATTTGTTTAATGGATTTGCCGCCCTTTTCAGCGTCGATGGACTAGTGCTGGACGTATACTTACGATACATTATCCCGTTCCATGGACGTATAGGCGAGTGGTATACAATTGCGACGTAGGAAAATGGGAAGTTTGCGGTATAACAGTGTCTGTGGGTTGTTTGCGGTGTTAGCTAAAGGTTGATGGTTAGGGAGACATTTGGTCTCGTATTATGAACATGTTAATACTCGCAGAAGTGGTCGAATGTTACTGAAACCACAGGGACCTGGGAATTTGTTACAGCTATATCTGGACCTGAACTAAGATGTTCAGAGTAATTTTAACCAACCCTAATGATGAATGGTCTGAACACCTAATTAGTTCAGGTACAAATTAAGCTGTATCAAATTCTCGGGTACCTGTTATCAGGGGTAAGGATAACGTTACGGAAACTACGACCGTGTTGATCGTCATTGAACATACACTGATTATGGAGTGTTGCAGACAGATTGGTTGAATGTTACGGAGAGTGGGGACTACAGCACATTACGGAGGTAGACGTTTAAAAAAAACGGAGAACTGTTACGGAGATAGAATTGAATTTGACGGGGACAGATTTGGATAGGTATGCGACAGCTGCCTCGGTAAGGACGTGAACTTTAGTATTTCCTCTTTCTTTACAAAAAAAGTTGAATGTTATTGCCGAATGAGTTAAAATGTGCTGAGGTCTGCAAGCTGTGTTCCGACTTCAACCCCAGCGCCCCGAGGCCACAGGTAAACCGTCCACCTGTCCCTGTTGGCCTAGTTAACGGTTCAGTGGGGTTTGCGTACACACGACTCCGAACCCGAACCCCGTATCCTGCCCCTTCCCCTTCCAATCGTAGCCTCGGAGACAGTGGGCGGAGCCATCCAGAACGTGTGTACCACCCCGTCACACGGGCGACCTCGGGTTTTGGCCGTGATGTATTGGGATGCCGTCTGTCACCTCTCTTTGATGTGCCGCCTTCGGCACGCGACAAACTTATACCTAAACAATCGTAACAACGGTCACATGTGTAACGGTACCCCCACACCTGTCCCCCGAGGGGTCGACAAACACTGCCATCTGTCGCCGACAGCTTTGGGTAACCATGTAGATAAATAACTCCAAAAATATTGGACAATA